GTGAAGATCAAACATTTCAGTCTAAAATAAGGTATATATCGAATAAATGCTGCGCATAATGAAAAATTGGGTTCTGCCTCAATTTGTAGGTGGGTTATCACATTCATTTATTTAGGTGAATTTTCAGGAGTACAGTTTGTGATAAGGGACACTAAAACAGTAAAGTAAATTTGATGTCAAGCATTACACAAACAACAAAGGTCTGTACCAAAATATTGTGATAAAAAAACGTATTAAGATTAATATTTTTTTAAATATATTTAAAAAAGGATGGAAGGAGTATTGAGTTGACTTTAGAAAAAAAATTGTTCATTTTTGCTGCTCTCAGGTCACATTCAACGAATTAAGGAATTGGTTGAACCCTTTCTGGTTCAACCCTTTCTGGAAGCAAGCCTTTACAGATAGTAAATTAAAAAGAATAACAACAAACCAATGAATTGTGACTTCAATGGATTCAGAAATGTAACCCTGACCTCTTTGGGGGGATCTGAGCAGCGAGGTAGACGCATGCAAAGAAGAGGCCAAGAAGAATTCGACAAAAAAGATCAAAACAAATTTGGTGACTATCGTTGGAGGGAATACCAGATTAGAGGTGTACGACTTACCTTATTTTAGGGTTTTCAGCTCCAATGTCCGCAAAGACCGTAGGTTATGGCTCCAGTATAGCAGAGGGAAGTGAATCGGAGAAGAAGGTTGAGTGAGGAGGCGACAGGAGGTAGGGTTTGAAGTTCAGAGTAGAGCGGATGAATTGATTGAATTAGGTGAAGTTATTTTTTGGAGGCCTTCTCGGTTTTTGGGAGGTACAGTAAGGTCAGATACGTGAATCGGTTTTTGGAGGGTCCCTGAAATTTTTGAAATATTTTGGCCAAAATTTTAGAGGGAGTATTGCTGGGAAATACTCCGTAGTAGAATTTGGCGAAAATTTTAAAACTTCTTTGCCAAAATTTTGCCACGTACAAGTTATATTACTAGAATTTGGCCAATATTTTGGCAAAAATTTTAAAAGTTTTAAAAAGAATGTTCTCTATAAAAAAGAAATATTTTTTTCACATGTACATATAGTAGATTTGACAAGTTTTTAAAAAAATACTCCTTTCGTCCGGAAATATTTTTCCCGTGTTGATTTGGCACGCTTATTAAGGAATAGTAAAAAAACGTAAAATTTTAAAAAATACACATACTTTCCGAAATAAAAGGTATTATTGAATTTTATCTTTAAAAGTATACTAAAAAAGAAAACGGGAAGAATATTTTCAGACGGACCAAAAAATAAAATGGGAAGAATATTTCGGGACGGATGGAGTAGTAAAAAAATGTAAAGTTTTTAGTTTTAGAAATGAACTCCTTGTTCAATTTACTCTTTTTCAAACTCAAACGATTTTGTTGAATAATGTTTGTTATTTATTTGATAAAATAATAAATTTGTGTCATATCTATTTCTGTATATGTTTTTATATAGTCTTCTGATACTCTATACCAATTTTCACATAAAATTATTAAAAAGAACGGAGATCAAGGATATTATACAGTGTTATTATGGACAGCGAGAGCAGTGGATGAATTATGAAAACCAAAATATTACTTTGTGTTATTTTTAAATTAAAGACTAAGGGCCTATTCTTTAGGACTTGAACTCTTAACACCACCGTTACCACCACCACCACCACCAACAACAACAACAACAATAATAATAATAATAATATATATTCCTTCCAGTTTCTTCCAGTTTCTTCCAATTTCTTCCAGTTTCTTCCACTTCTTCCAGAAATCGAGTTATCGTTATATGTAACAGTAATTAGGACTTGAACTCTTAACACCACCGCTACCACCACCACCACCACCAACAACAACTAACAACAACAACAATAATAATATATATTCCTTCCAGTTTTTTCCAGTTTCTTCCAGTTTCTTCCAGTTCTTCCAGAAACCGAGTTATCGTTATATGTAACAGTTCTTCCAACAACAACAACTCTTAGTATGTTTGATATTCGTAATTATCCTTGAAGGAGTCAAGATTGAGTTAGTTTGCTAGTACATGTAACAGTTGAAGAGTTTGGTTACCTTGTTAACACATGCATCTATCTCAAATAGAAACCGAGTTATCGTTATATGTAACAGTACATTTGATATTGTTAAGTATTCGTGAACGACTCAAGATTGAGTTAGCTAGACCGGTTGTCGGTACATCTAAAAGAAATGGGGTTTGGTTATCTTGGTAACATCTCAGACATAAACCGGGTTATTGTTATATGTAACAGTACGTTTGATATTGTTAGTTATCGGTATATGTAACAGTACATGTACCTGAATACAGGTTACTTTTATATTGAGTAATAATAATACTTTAATGGACTACGCTATACTTACACCAAATATTATATTACCTCCGTCCCACTCATTTTGTCCACTTTTGACTTTTGTAACTGTTCATTTAAAATAGTTATACAAAACTATTTTGATAGTTTATATTGACACATATGTTAGTGCGTTAACAAAAATTTACACGTGCACAAAGTGTTGGTGTTTTAAAAAAATATTTTTACACCAACTCAAAATGTTAGTGCAAATCTACGGTGTACAAGTGAGGTACAAAAACTTTGGGATACAAATTTAATAACTTTATCCTACTTTAATAACAACATTCAATTTGGACATGATAACCACTCATCTACCCCATCCACCACCTAATAAAATCAGTGACTTTTATCATGAACTGAACAAACTAGAGCCACTCATCTCCCTTCCACTCCTTATCCGATATCGCTGCAGA